GGAAAAAATAACCCCATAATATAAGTTAATATAAGTTTTCAAATTAATCTGAAAAATTTTTACTATTTGATAACCACAGTGAAAATAATGAGAGAGTATTAATTTTTAGTACGTTACACAATTTAAAGTTATTAACATATGCAAATACCTGGTATGCAGATGGAAATTTTGGTTTAGCCCCGAAACATTTCTCGCAACTTTACATCATACGAATTGAAAAATATAGTGAATTTTTTACTGTTCTTTACTGTTTACTTGAAAAAAAATCAATCTATTTACGAAATAATGTTCAAAGCTATTTTATCAGTCTGTGAAAAGAACAATCTTTTTCCAGATCCGCAAAATATAAAAATAGACTTCGAAAAGGCTGTCATAAATGCAGCAAAAAATGAACTAGGTGAACATTTAATAATAAACGGATGTTTCTATCACCTCTGCCAGAGTACCCACAGAAAATTGGCAGAATTAGGATTAAAACAAGAATACCAAGAAGATTATGATTTTAATGAATTCTGTGGTATGTTAGAGAGCTTGGCTTTTTTGCCAATAAATAGATTACAAGAAGGTGTTGACTATTTAAAATCAATTATTCCTCTTGGTTCCGAGGAGTTGTTTCAATATTTTGACGAAACCTACGCGAGTGGAACAATACGTCGAATAAATAAACAAAACACTCTAAGTTTAAGCGTTCGACGTTTTCCAGCGATGTTCCCTCCAGAAACTTGGAATGTTCACCGAACAACACTCGAAAATAACCACCGAACCAACAATGTTTGTGAATCTTGGAACAATCGATTTTGCCATTTAGTTGGAGGAAAACACCCATCGATTTGGACGTTAATAACCAAAATAAAAAATGAATTGTCGGCAGACCGTGCAAAATTTGCTCTGCAAAACATAGGAGAGTCCAAAACAAAATGCTCCAAATCGAAAACCGTCCAAAAACGATTAAAAACCTTATGCGAACGGTTAAACACTAACCAAATTGAAGTGGATACATTAAAAAAAATAATTTATTTTAATTTAAGAAAACGTTTATAATGAGAATTTTTTATTTATATATTATTGACATTATTTTACAAATGTATACTTTACTACCAAATTATTATATAAATTGACAAATTGACAAATTGACAAATTGACAAATTGACAAATTTTATTGTATTCCACGTTTATAATGAGAATTTTTTATTTATATATTATTGACATTATTTTACAAATTTATACTTAACTACCAAATTATTATATTATATAAATTGACAAATTGTATTGTATTCCACGTTTATAATGAGAATTTTTTATTTATATATTATTGACATTATTTTACAAATTTATACTTAACTACAAAGATTAAAATATCATAAATTGTAATAARCTTTATATGTAATACATGATTATATTTTAAGTAACATGAGCAAACTATTATGCAAATAGTAGTAGTACAAGTGTAGTAGTTAAATTGTAAATAATATTAATGGACAAACTATTTAAAACTTATATTTATATCTTAATTAAATACATAGGTGAAATACTTAATACCTACGTTCACTTATAAAAAATTTATACAGAATTACATCTTTAATTTTGTGCCACAATAATAAAATATTATCATCCATCACAAACAGGATTATAATTAGATCTTTATGTTTTTGTTTAACAATAACAATCTACTCTCAATTCTAATATTGATAAAATGTATTAGCCACTAGGTATGAATTTCACTTTTGATAATGTCTAGTCATTGGGCTTTATAAGTTTAAAATACTTAAAACAAGTACAATAAACATTTAAATTAGGTGTCTATTTATTTTAATTGTAAATCATGAAAATTGAAGAACTTAAGAAATTTTACAATCCATTAAAGATGATTTTGTATATTGTGTCATAAACGAAAAAGAGTCATGCGTTGATTCAAATACATACATAATCCGAACTGGTAATATTGAAGATGTTTTGTCCTCCAAAAAATGTATTTAACTGTTTAGTTCAGCATCTAACACCTCATATATATTGAATTTTGAGTTAAAAGATCCTAAAAWGTAAGTAACATTATACAGCCAAGCCAATAAAGTCAGTGGRTCAATATTTATTTATTATAGATTGTTTAAAAAATATAACTTTATTAATTTTGATAGAGTAATATTTCACATATATTTCATATGCCATCATTCTTTAAAGAATAAGAGCACTACTACAATTACTGAACGCAATACTAACTGTAAGGCAACCATAGATATATTATTTAAAAAAAATAATAAGAACACCAGAAAAAATTATCCATACCTAAAACTATCACCACCACATAACACTGTTATTAAAATAGTATGGAATCATAATCATCCAATTATTTCTTGTGATGCAATGAAATATTTAAGAACTAACAGTGAAATATGATTTCTTTCAATTGAATTTAATACTTAGTTCACTAATTATAACTAGACTAAATAATATACTAACTTTGACAAGTTTAAAGCACCTGTAATATTCTTTGTTTAAGACTGACAATACTTWTATCCCGTATTTTGAAAATGGGTTATCTCCTAACGAAGCAAGGCATTCTCATGAAAGTAAACTTTTGTTACAAGAGAACTCGCGCTCATTTCTAGCAAATGCCGCTTTAAATCCTACAAAAAGGCATATATATCATGTTCATGGTGAATGGAGAAAAAAAAATGTTGGTTAGGTTAAAATATTTATAAGAAATAAAATATACTTAATTACCTACATTTTTAAATATTATTTTGAATTTTCACCAGTTATAAGAGTTTAAACTGTTTAAAGTACTTAAAATTGAAATTTCAGTCACTTATTGTCTTTAAATTTAATGTGTACACAATTAATTTGCAATAAATTGTAGGTTATAAATTATAGGAACCTTATTGATAGGAATCTTAGTTTATTCAACATTATATAGCAGTTGCACATATTTACTATTAATTATTTTGTTACCTACTATTATATCAACCATTCGTTAATAGGAGTACAAATTGCAATAAAAGCTGATAAACCCTGGGCAGTATTAATTGTTACTCCAATTATGAAAAGGTCTCAACAACTTCTATCATCACAGGAAATAATCTTTGTTGGTTTGACAAGTAGTGTTGATACTACTAGTAGCACAGTTACAGTTATGTTGACACCATCCAAAGCTGGAGCAATTCTGTTGGCTATTCTAATCCATTAAAGGGCAGTCAGAACAAAGTTACATAGGAGCTTTTTCTCTTCTCCAAGAACATATTCCATTATGTTATGGTGCTAAGGAGGTACGCAATACATATAATATTAGATATTTCTGATTTTATTTATTTATTAAAATTAATAATTTAAGATTTATGCAAATTAGAAGATGATTCAAATGATGAAATGTAACTTTC